ATTTCCCAGCGCGGGGGCTTCTGCGTCCCTGGCCGCCCGGCGGCCGCTTTCTGTTTACGGAGAGAAAGGGGAAATGGAAAAGGGGAGGCGGCCGGCCTCCTTCCCGCCCCGGGGCCGGCTCAGCCGCCGTGACTCAGGGGCCGGTCTGGGCGCGCGAGGCCCGGGGCTCATTCGTCCGCGCCACCCGGCCCGACGCGCCACGCTCGGGGACCGGCCGCCCTGGCTCCCGCCGCCGTCGCCGCCGGACCCCGCGGGCCCAGCGCGCCTGGCCTCGGAGCGCCCGCCACCGCTTGCCGGGCACCCAGCCGGCGGGGCCGCGCGGACGCCGCAGGTAATCCGCGTTTGGGGGATCGAGGGTGTCTTTCGGGTCGCGCCCCCGGGGGTTTCCACCCAGAAATAGAGGTGCCCCCCGCAGAGGGAGAACTCCGCGGCGGGAGGTGGGGCGCGCGTGGCGAGCTGCAGCCGAGCTGGAAAGCACCTTGCGCAAGGGTCTCCCGGGCGCAGCCTCGCGGCTCCTCCCCCTTCCTCCTCCTTCCCGGATCCGCAGCGCCCGGCCGCGCCTGGCCAGTGCCGGTCCGGGCAGCGCTTGAGGAGGCTGGGACCCGCCGTCACCTCCCGCCCGGACGCCTCCCACTCCCCGCCGAGCTCCGATGAGTGCACCCCGGAGGCTCGAGGACCCGCCCGAGGAATAGGTGCTTGGATCGTCTTTTAGACGGCCTGGGCTTCGAGGGACGGGAGAGAGGGAGTGGGGAGCAGGCTGCTGGAGCCGAGAGGCTTTGAGTGGCGGGAACTTGTTTGGTGTTTATGACCTGGACTCTGTTCTGTGGTCATGGCAGAACTCGAATGCGGGGCTTTTGGTCCCAGAAAGAATGCTAAGAGAAAGAAAAAGTCATTTCACAGAAGTTGTTTTTGGTGATAATGCGATGTCAGGGCTCTGAAATTTTTCTAGCTCTAGGAGGAGAGCGACGCTTAGAAGGAAGCCCAGCGCGCAGAGATTGTCCCCAGAGTTCATAGGGAAGGCCACGAGCTGTCATTCGTTACGTGGGACGTGGCGGTGCTTGTCCAGTTCACTCTCGGGAAGGCATATTTTGGTTCAGAATAAAAGGCTGCTCCTGATAAAATCAGGGAAAGAACGATGATGCAGGGCTTTACATACCTGTGACCTGTGCCTTATTTGCCAAGGAGAGCATAATCCGAGTCCAGCCGACGCCCCCAGTTCTCGGGTGAACCGTGGCTTGTGTGCAGGACCTTCTGCTGGGGGCCTGAATAACTTCGTCGTGCTGTTGAAGGTTTCGGGCAGAGTAGCTGTGCATCTATACTACTGGAATGCATCCTTCTGTGACTTTTTGAGAACGAAAATTTAAGAGGTGTGCCCTGAGGGGCAGTGTACCATTTTGGCCGGAAAAAAAAATTATTTTTATTTTATTTTATTTTTTAGAAAAATATTTTAAATGGGAAGTAACACCAAGGTATAATCATTCTTTGTTAGGCAGAAGCTTACGCATGTAATGTTGGCCATTTTCATTAACACTTGCAGGAAACACCCAAATTATGCTTATGTCTCTGGAAGTAACCTTGAGTATTATGCCAAATGTTTAGGAATAGACTTTCCTCATGATTTTATTGCTGATTTCTGAAATAGTTCAAAGTAAATAATTTTGATTGTATGATTGTATTTGCACATCTCTTCCTTTCTAAAATTGGCCTTAAGTTTCTATTCTGTCAGGAAGTAGGAATTTTATGAGGATTTTTATGTAAACTGTGTCCCAGGAGAGTCATCTTATACTAAAAATCTTTATTGCTAAACTGGGATACCTTTACAATCTGTACTTCTGGATGGGTACTGATCATGAATAACTCAGGAACATTAGCATACTGTGTGCTTCATTAAGGTCTGAAAGAGCTGAGGCCTTTTGCAAGATCATTTAACAGGCAACTGGTCATCGGCATTGCTGGGGGTATAGATTTGTGTGACAAGAGCCTGTGTTGCTAAGGAATCAATGCAGGCTCTGAAGAAGGTCTGTGTCAGACACTCCTCCACCTCTTGTCCCCCTTACCTCTCTCTCTGTGTTCCTTGCTTGCAACTTGCAGTTCAGGGTGTGTGTGTGTGTGTGTGTGTGTGTGTGTGTGTGTGTGTGTATGTGACAGGAGCCTGTGTTGCTAAGGAATCAATGGAGGCTCTGAAGAAGGTCTGTGTCAGACACTCCTCCACCTCTTGTCCCCCTTACCTTTCTC